CCCCCACCAGCCTCCCCAGGGTTTGAGCTCCCCGAGCCCCAGGCTGGAGGGTTTTCCATCTCCGAGGACATGGGGTGTGCTTGTGGCACCCAGGCTAGCGTGGAAGGAGGACTGGGGGTTGGTGGGCTGGGGGGATGCCCTGGTACCTTCCTCCACACCAGGCTGTCCCCTGCAGATGAGGAGATGGGCGGACAGAAGGGCATGGAGCTGTTCGTGCAGCGCCCCGAGTTCCGAGCGCTCAACGTGGGCTTCGCCCTGGACGAGGGTGAGCGGTGGCAGGGCTGGCATGGGGACGTGTTCCCTCTTGGTGTGCACCCCTCTGCCTGTTGGTATCACCCCCCGGGCACTGGCACCTGGTACAGCTTCCAGGGACCCCCTCAGGGGCTCCTTCCTCCGGCAGTGACCCCTGCGGTGCCGGGCTGGATGGGATGTGCTGCTGGGGCAGAGCCGGGGGGACACATCACGGCACCCCCATGTGCTGCTGACTCCTGTCTGTGCCCACGACAGGCCTGGCCAGCCCGTCTGACACCTTCAGCATCTTCTACGGGGAGAGGGGCCCGTGGTGTGAGTACCTGTGTGCCCACCACCCCGCCCCGGGCTCTGCCAGGCACTGGGACACTGGTGCTGTCCCCGGCGCTCTGCTCAGCGCCACCTTCTCCCTCCGCTGCCGCAGGGGTCAAGGTGAGGTGCACAGGCAGCCCCGGGCATGGGTCCAGCTTCATCACCAACACGGCGGCAGAGAAGATGGTAAGAGAGGGGGGCACACCCTGTGCAACCCCTGCCCACCCTGGGGCTGCCACGTGCCCCCCTGCAGGGCTGGTCCTCACCCCCTGCCCTTCCCTCCCCAGCACAAAGTCATCGACTCCTTCCTGGGCTTCAGGGAGAGCGAGAAGCAGAGGTAGGAGATGGGCAGTGGGGTGGCGGTGGCTTCAGTTCAGTCCGAGGAAGGGTTCCTTGGGATCCCACGCAAGGCTCTGCTCCAGTGCTGCTGCCCCTTGCCTCAGTTTCCCCATTTGAGGGTGGTGGCAGGGTGGGGGAGAGCTTCCCCTCCTCCCCAGGTGACAGAGGGTGACTGTCCCTTGCGTTCTCCGAGGCTCAAGTCGGACCCCAGCCTGACCCCAGGAGATGTCACCTCGCTCAACCTGACCATGCTGGAGGGGGGCGTCTCCTTCAACGTGGTGCCCT